GGGGGGGGGTCTGCAAGGCAATCAAGGCTCTCAAATGCAGCAGAACCATTAGGCTGGGGGTCAAATAATTTGGTGGCTGTTGTTGGGTCTTGTGTACATTTGTGAAGCATGAATGTGTGCAAATGCAGGCAAAATTTATGGAAGAAATGGAGGAGGGTGAACATTTCATAAGGGACTTGAGGGGAGAGAGGTAACGTGGGTCCCTTCTCTCTCTCTCTCTCCCCCCTTCTGTCACTCTCACTCTACAGCTAAGTGAGAAACACCATCTCCTTGCCTGCCTCTCTACATCAATGTAAGCTTTTATTTAGGCTGCAGGGAAACATCTGCAACTAGATACTTGTGCTCTGTAAGGATTAGYACAGACATTAAAAAAATTAGGAAAGCGACATCATTTGTTGAAGTGAAGAGGCACAAAGGTCTCTCCTTTGCAAAGGTAAGACACTCTACCTGTTGATTTGCTGCATGCGCTGACATTCATAAAAATGCTTTCAAATGAAAAAAAATTACACAAGTAAACCCTTTTGGAAAGCGTTAAAATTGCACATTTGTGATTGTTGCTTATAAGACTTTATTCTCAACTAGGTGGATTTTGCATTATTAAATAAGTTTTAGTTATTAAGAATTGACTTTGAATTGAGTATTTCCTTAAATCAACATAAAATTAAATTAAACAAAAACTTCAGTTGAAGGAAAAACAGAAGCAATTAAAGGACTTAAGTAGAACTGACTGCAAATTGACCCAAATTAGGATGAATGCTAATTAGCAGTGTTTGCCTTTTTTTTTAACAGGTGCTTGGCCATGAAGGTTTTCATGTTTGAAATTTCAAAGGAGCGTGAGCAAAACAAAAGCACTCTGGTCTACAGAATGTGTGAGGGAAYCACTGCAGAATGTTTGTGCCACTTTTTATTTTTATTATTAGATGCAAAATAAATGAAGATTTRCCACAGAACCTCTTGCACAAAATAAAAAGAATAAAAAAGTAAATTTAGTAAACAGGTAACAGAAAATTCATAATCCAGCCTGTCAGAGATGCTGCAGTAATTGTGCACCACAGCCACATTCATTTTAWTCTTCAAAAATACAGTCTGAATACTTCTTCCGGCTTGTTTCTCCCCTTTTGTTGTTTTTTGGTAATTGTGTGTTTGATCAATTTAGAGCAACCTCTGTTAGAAAAGAAAATCAATGAACAGAAACAGGGATCCAGACACCAGGAGCAGCATAAAATAATCCTGTATTTGATTGTCAGTTTTAGTGGTGGTGATTTTTAAGCACAATAATGAAGCAGTTTCTGTCTGATAAGTAACATACAGATGTTGTTTCCCTGCAGCATCTCCTTTCTGGATAAATGAATTTAGAAACTGTTAGTGTGAAAATAAACTTGTTTACCTTTCAAAAAAATAAAAAAAAACTAAGGTGATGCCATTAGAGCGGCTTTGACCTCAGCTAATGAAATGGTCAACTGGTGATAACAACATTTAGCCTGCAGTTGATCAATAGCCCTGCAGACCTGAAGCAACAGTTGCCGGTGCAGCGTGAGAGTTTCTGAGAGTGAAACACAAAATGTCACTTGCTGGCGCAGACGTTTAAATGTTCTAAATTTTAGGCGGCTATTATGCATTGCTTATCAGACACCCCAGGCTCAGATAATGAGGGACACCATTAGCTCACCTCTTTAGAATAGCACATAATCACCTTTGCCCTCGTTTGTGTTTCCCATTCGTCGAATCTTTGTTTCCAGCTGTGTGCAGATGCCTCGGCAGTCTCGGAATGGTGGACAGGCAAATATTCATGCAAAGTGCTCAGAATAGGATATGTCAGCGGCGTCAGAGAGAGTGCAAAAAAAGAAGAAAAAAGAAAGTATGTGAAATAATCTAGGGAAAGAGAGTCAACTAAACAGGATGAGAGAGCGACGACAAGAGTCGCTCTTCCTGTTTTGCATTTTGAGAGCGCTCAATTCTCATCACGCCTCATGAATTAACTGCAGGGTCTGGAGGATTTCCACAAAGGCCATGGCAACAGCGTTACTAGGCGAGGGTGGGTTCCCTCGAAGCTGTCAGATAAGGTAGATGTTTGGAGACCAGATGGGATCGGAGCTCCTGCTGCGGATGACAGACGTGTGCATGACAAATTAGGAGCCGAAGACTGCAGACCGCCGCTAAATCCGGCTAGCTCCAGAGTGTGAGAGCGAGAAAGTATTAGCTGCTAACAAGTTTGGGATAGAGCGTAGAGAATTTCCAAACAGGCTCTTCAAACTGATTGCAGTGATGCTGCAGTACACATATTAAGTCATTGAAGTGGATCCATCTGTTTTAAATGGATCATCTATCTGAATCATTTTTTCTTGCTGTGATATCATAGAAACTCCATCTGTACTGTCTTGTTCAGCCCAGACTTTATTAAAAGAATGATTGTTTATCAAGACAAATARATCTGTTTAGAACTGTCTGAGTCGCAGTCTAAGAGTTTGTCAATAGACTTCTATTAAAGAAAATTGGGATCATCACCTTTTGTTGGAAGTAAAGAAAACATTGATTAATAGTCAGATGTGAGAGATTGTCAGAGAGCATCATTTGTAAGTAACTCATAACACTAGTCTTATTCTCAACTCATCATTGACTCACTCCATTAGAGAGACAGATTGTATTTTGTGAATTGTGAGTACTGTGAAATGGTTTTAAGCATGATATATTACCTATGGCTGTTTGAATGACCCAGGTTTTCAGAATTAGAGTTTAATTCTGGACACACTAAGAAGCCAGCAGCAAGTCAGAGAGGGGTGAAGATCCAAGTAGATTTCTGATGTGTTAAAACAACTTTAAATGACCAAAAAAGTGGCAATGGGTATCATAATGTTTTTGCCTATAACTCTATGTTTATTTATGTATTGCACATCCATTCATCCATTTTTTTTCTTGTTCTGAAGTTGGATTGTGGGGGCAGCAGCTTGAGCAAAAAGGCCCCAACATCTCTTTGCATTGACACCTCATCCAGCTCTTCCAGGAGTAATCAATCATTTCAAAACTGTTGATCTGCAGCGTAGCATCCTGAGACCCAAGCTTTTATTTGGTGTGCTTTATTTTCTTCTCCTAGGTACTACATGGGATTAGTAGGACCTAATAAGCATAATTACTATACTCCGTCACGGTACCAGAAGAGTTTATTTTTAAAAAAACGTGTTCTCATATGAAGGCACTTGGTCATATGTCACACATGTTAAGGAATACCTGAGCCATTACCAGGCTAAACTGAAAAAATGTCACGATAGCTTTTCTGGAGGTTCAATTTTCCTGGTTATTCTGGCCATACAGAAGCCAGCTGTTGACCAGAGCAAAATCAATGAAGTGAGTCATGATCAATGACAACTTCCAGTTTGCTTCTCAGTTTGAAAAAACAATTTTCTTACAGGAGACAGGAAATCATGTAGCATTTGACGAGAATGTCCTTGTTATAATTAACTGGATGAACAAACGTACTACTTGCTTGTCCTGTGATGGACTTGTGACCTGTCCAGGGTGTACCCCGCCCCTCGCACTGTGACTGCTGGATATGGGCACCACTGACCCACACGACCCTGAAAGGAAGAAGCGTGTACAGAAAATGTATGTATGGATGGATGGATGGAGTGCAGAGAGGCYAAAATGCAATGTCCTCAAATGAGGACATGCAGTCTCAGGGAGCTAGTTTGTCCTGGTGCCATGGTGTTTGTTTAACATGTCAGAAAAAAATATCTGATGAACTACTGACCAAATTTAATACAACTCTCAAAAAAAATAATCTCTGGGTATCAATAACTCATTGATTTTTGAATTAACACCTGCAGCACAAAACAGGAGGAAATAAGGATGGGATAATTTATTTCTATTGGCAAATCGGTTTGGAAGATAGTTATTTGATGTTATTTATTGTGTTGTTTTGTTTTTAACATCCTACAGGCTCTGACATGTAAATAAATTTGAAACTGAGTTTTTGAAAAAATCCATAAAACTTGAAAAATATGTGAGATTACTCTATACATCTGCAAAATGAGGGACAATCCATGTAAATTACAAACAATCTGAACAAATTGACATGCATGAAGTTTCTAAACAGTGTTTGTATGAACGGCTACAAGACATATTAGACTGGAGACTTTTAAGGACAGATGCAATGTACTTTGGCTTCAACCCTGCCCATTAGCTCATCAAGCCAGTTGCAATGAACATTTTCACCAAGCTGATGCTGCTCATAATTAATCTATGATAAGTAAAATATTAATTGTTCATAACATTTTAATAGAACTCCACAGGAAAACATCTGAATTATTGTTGTGACTTGTTACACCGCATTAATTTGTTTAATGCACACAGTCAGTCTGGTTGGTAAATGTTAAACATTCTTCTTCCTCGAAGACGCTTTCATAGTCAGCTCTGAAGTATTAAAAAGTCATACATTATAAGGGAGGAGGACTGGAGCATTTATTTTGCTTGTTTGGGTCACATTCATGAATAAACAGCTAAACGTGTGACTCAGAAATATTTGTTCCATTGTTGCTGTGTATTACTGAAGGAAAAACAACATGTCCTTCACTGGATGTTCCTTAATGCACAACACAGAGGGAGGCTGACGCTTTGTTCTTGTGTTAAAAAGCCCTGACTGGCATACATGCTGCCCAGGGCGACATTGTTCACCGTGTCCTCTGCGAACCCTGGAAGCAGTTWTGCAGATGTGATGCAATGCAGAAAATCACAGTGCTATGCTAGTGATGGGTTTTTTTAGGGGAAAATATGAAACTTTCTGAATTGATCAGACCCCACCCAAAGATAATGTTCACTCAAGAACATAAAAGAAATGAAATTATGCAGTGACTCACACTTTCACCAAGTCTTTTGCATAATCATCATGCAGATGTGCTATAAAAACAAATCCATAAAACAACAAAAAACTTGTCATTGAAGAAAATAAAATGAGTCAGAATTCACGCTTGATTACATTAAAGCAAACACAAAAGCAGAAAATTGCTGAATATCAYAGCATTTTACAGACTTTTGGCTTGCTGTGCAGCATTTTCACTTAAAAATCTGACCTAGACTGAACTCTACCTGCAGCAAGCCAACTCAGGACAACACAAAACACTTTAGTGTCAGCATCAATGTGATTCTGACAGAATGAGATTTTGTGTTCATCTGAGGGTTATGAGTTCCAAATTATCTTTGGAAAACATCAGCAACAGACCGTCACCCCACACTGATTGCAAAACAAGATAACATTTAGGAGCACAATTCCGAATACACAAGTCAATTTTTACGTTGTGTTCTTGTTTCACCTGCGCCTGATTTCACAATCTCTGTTAACTTTCCAACTCCAGTGTATTTTAATTGTCATTTCACTTATTTTCAGACATCTAAAYGTTAAAAAGACATACTTTTGGTAAGTGGAAACACTGATCTGTGAATAAAGGTCGTGAAATTGTGTTTTTGGAAGCGAGAAGTTGACATTAATGAAAAAAGCTTCACAAACATCTGAAAATCATTTCTAAGTGTGGGGAGCTATTTACTCTGTAGCCATTGCACCTGTTTGCTCTTTTATTAGCTGCCAAAACTTAAATGCCACATAGTGATGGGGAGCATCCAGCTCCGTCCTGAGCTGCATGAGAAGGTCCAACAAATAAACATAAATGTCATCAGAGAGGAAATAATCCTAATAGGAAGAAGAGTATATTCAAATTTTGTGTAATAGCTTTTACAATAGGATTTATTTGAATTCTAATAATACCAAACTAAATGGCAGGTAAATAATATATTTGCTTTTATTAATTTCAGTTTTAAAGGGCACACACAATTTTTAGCCACACTTAAAAGAACTTGTAAGATTTACTAGAGAAAATACTGTAAACAATTTGCACTAATGTTTGGTAAGTAAATTTAAATGAATTCTAATAATACCAAACTAAATGGCAGGTAAATAATATATTTGCTTTTATTAATTTCAGTTTTAAAGGGCACACACAATTTTTAGCCACACTTAAAATAACTTGTAAGATTTACTAGAGAAAATACTGTAAACAATTTGCACTAATGTTTGGTAAGTAAATTTAAATGTTACAAATTTGTGTGATATTTACTCATCATTATCTAGTAAAAGTTATTAAGCATATAGTTAAAAATTTGTACATAAATCTGATAAATTTTACTTAATTTACTCAATTAAATGTTGATCAAATTAAGTAAAATTTACCTGATTTATTCACAAATCTTTAATGCTTAATAACTTTTACAAAATAATGATGAGTAAATATTACATGAATTTGTAGCCTTTAAATTTACTTAACAAAAGTAAGTGCAAATTGTTACAAGGTTTTTTTCTAATAAATCTTACAAGTTCTTTATAACAGTGCACATGCGTGAAGCACAACATTGTAGCATGACACCTCACAGCTACAGAGAGAGGTGTAGCTCATGTTGCAGTTCAAGACTTCACCACCAGGTGGTGGTTTTGAAGATCTTTTATTGGATTTTTCTTCATGAACAAAACAAAGTGAAACTCACAGGTGTTATTAATGACTAGGCCTACCACTCTCACTTATGGTTACTTCTGCTGAACGGTTTAACACAAGTTAACAAATAATGAACACARAAATTAGAGTAAKACAAKAGACTAATTGCWGAAAGAACAATGTTAARCAATTCCCTAAAATGATTTAACAACTACAAACATGAATCCTACCCACAATCCTCCACTGCAGTCACATGACAAACAGCCAAACACAGCAGAATGCTACAATATGCATTCCCTGTTCCCTGACAACTAAATATCACCTATATTGGGGGGGCTGTGGCGGAGTGGTTAGGGGAGTCGTCCTGGAACCGGAAGGTCGCTGATTCAATCCCCCGTCCAGCCGTCTCAGTCGTGGTGTCCTTGGGCAAGACACTTCACCCACCTTGCCTACTGATGGTGGTCAGAGGGTCCGGTGGCGCCGGTGCATGGCAGCCCCACCTCTGTCAGTGCCCTCCAGGGCAGCTGTGGCTACAGTGTAGTTTGCCATCATCAGTGTGTGAATGTGAATGTGAGTGTGAATGGGTGAATGTCTGTTAGTGTAAAGCGTTTTGGGGTCCAGAGGGACTTGAAAAGCGCTCTAAGTTCAGTCCATTTACATTATGCCATCAAACTATTGCACATCAACAAATGTATTCAAGCAAAAGAAACCAGACAACTTATGTTTTATTTCGACCATGTCTTGTCCTCCCCTTGAAAAGTGAAGCAAGGGAATGAGGAGCAGCAGCCTTTGTGTGCGCATGCACCCTCAGTTTTAGCCCAGAAGAGTAGAAGTTACTTAACATATTCATGTTTATGTGCTGTCCAGAAAAAGCACTTTATTTTAAACTTAAGTGTCAGTCTTAGAGCTGATTTGTGACACCTGGCTGTGCCGCAAAGCTGATCCTGGATGACGTCGTTAGAAAAAAACATTGGCATGGACCAATCACTGCCTCGGATTTCATGTTCAAGAATATTGTTGGAGAAATGTCAAGAAAAAACTACGAAAATCCTAAGATAAGTTCACTTTCAACACAACAATGTTGTCACCTTGTACTGATTGTCTGTAAATTACATAAAATGTTCTCATTTGCATCATGAGAACAGTTTTTTTAGCAAAAACTCAGCAGCTTTAAAGTTTTTTGTCTCAGAGCCTGAGGTAATGCCGAGCAGCTCGGTCCTCCTCTTCGCCACTGTCTGCAGACAACACCGGCTTCACACACACATGCACGCACACAATCCCACTCTGTCTTTAACAGCTTGATCCGAGAGGAGCGTGCGACGTTTTATAAATACGGGCCCTGGTTTCTGTACTGCCTTTCGTTTTCTGTCCTGCTCCTCCTGTCTGTCTTTGCTCTAGCCCCYCCCACACTCACCTGCTCCCTGTGTTTCTTTCCCAGGTGTTTCTTCTATAAGGCTTGATAGTTCCTCCTTATTTTCTGTTATTTGTCCTCAGCCTGTTATTGGTGTTCTGTTTGTACGTTTGTCTTCATAGCCAGTGTTTCATCCTGTTTTGCATTCCTTGTTTTTACGTGTTCATGTTCCTGGGTTTTTGTAAACACCTTTTTGCTGTGTGTTTTGTTTTTGTTAATAAATCCTTTTTGCATTTTTTTAGACCATTATCATTCAGTTCAGCACCTGGGGTTCAGTCCTTCCAAGCTTCATTACACAATCTCTTAAATATTCAACCATGTGGTCTTGGAATAATTCTAGCATTCCTTGAAACAAAGCTAAAATATTTTGACATACTGTATTTTAGACAAGGATCAAGTGTGATCTGTTATCATTGAGTGTATCATCAGCAACTACCACGCTGGATTTTAGCTCAATACCTGCTAAACTAACTGAATAGGAGCCATTTTGGTGTTTGCTAAAGGCCTGTGGTGTCCATCATGAATTAGGTTGTCTCGAGAAGTAAACTGATTGTAATTGTACATTCTAACTGCTGTCTGAGAGTTTATTTAGTCTGTACAGTGAGTCATGAGCTATTTTGCTAACGGACACAAGTAAACAGAGACAATTACATCATTGTCAATGTTTTATGGGCATGGTTGATTATTTTGGTTGTAAGAATTAGCTTTCTGGACACGTCTGTCCTCTGCTTTGTGGTAAATTGACGGTGATGATTTCAGACAGATACACAAGAATCACAGATTATGTGAAAGCGACTGGAAAAATAGTTTATATTTGTGCACATAAAGCTGTGTTTAAGAAATGAATGCGTCGTCTTTGTGGTGTTTTTATGCTGGAGTGCACTGTGGATCTAACAGCTGCACTCAGCAGCAGCCAGAAATGGGCAATCGTTAGAAGGCAGATCCACCAGTGAGTTAAATGTTCCTAAGCACAATACATTTCAATGCATTGAACGATGGTTCTGCTGGAAAGTCATAAAAACTTCTAAAACTTTTCTCATTTCCAAAACTCYTTTGTTTTTAACATACCAGAAAATTACTAAGAAAAATGTACTTTTTCGTGACAGCTTAGATAATCTATGTAGGCGAGATTCAATTTAGAAGTCTTAGTCCTGCATGAAGACTATATGAATCTTTGTTTTGTAAAAGTGAAGAGCTGCAGTAAGTGCTATGTGACATTTGGAAAGGAGAAACTAAATACAGCAGTTCATCTGAGATCAAAATCCTGCAGTCTAAGTTGTTCACGATGTGTTTTGAATAAATCAGCAAAGCATCCCACAGTTCCACTACAAACAGAGGGTCCTAGAAGACATGAAGACATCTACTGTTCAAATGTTTACATTGATTTAATACTCCAAAATTTTACCATTATAGGATTATAATTGTAGGCTCTATATACAATTTATTACTACAGCTTTACTAGCCAGAGTTCTGCCTCTGAAGCCACTTTACTTTGCTGTAAATAAATACTGAAAGAATTTAAAAAATCCAATCCAGCGTACGTCACAAGACTTAACTTTTTTCTTGCTCAAGATGTGAGACATTCTGAATAAACAGATTTTTTATAACTTTGTTTAAGAAATAAAAAAAGGCTGATACACGTTTTTGATTTAAGTGTGTAATAATTTATTAGTGTTCCATTTTTTTCATAGGGTCTTGCTACAGCAAAATGGATATTTTCATGGATAGAGGTTTTGCTGTGACTGCCAACAGCAGCCATGAAACGGGAGGACCAGGAGGCAACAAGGGCCAAGGACTTAATCACAGTGACCCACTGGACATGTTTGTAGGCATGGAGCTTCTGCAGCGATTCAGACCACTCTTCCTGCCGCTTTACTGCCTCGTAGTGGTCGTCGCAGGTGTTGGAAACACATTCCTGTTGGCTTGCATCTTGGCCGACAAGAAACTCCACAACGTCACCAACTTCTTTATCGGTAACCTGGCAGCGGGCGACCTGCTGATGTGTTTGAGCTGTGTTCCACTGACTGTGTCTTACGCCTTCGACAGCCACGGCTGGGCTTTTGGACGACCTCTGTGCCACTTGGTCCCCTTGCTGCAGTGTGCCACGGTGTTTGCCTCGGTGCTGTCGCTCACTGCCATCGCAGTTGATCGCTATATTGTTGTGGGTAAGTGACTGTCAATTGAAGAATTACAAAAAAATAGTATTTTAATAGGTTTTTTAATGATATCAGGCATTAATGGTTGCTTAATTTGAAAATGTATTGTCATTTCAATATGAAAATGCAAAATTTCAGTAGGCTATCGTCCATGTATTCACATTCTGCATGCCAACAATATGTTTAGTCAATCTGATGAATTCTCACTGTTCTTGATGCTTGCATCAGTTTAGAAATTAGTAACTTAAATGCTAAAGCAAAGATCCTAATGACCAAAGAGGAGTGATGGAGATGTGGGTTTACCACAAGTGATGTCATCCTCTCAATCTTCAGTATAGTTGCACTCAATTTCTATCTCTTCGCAGTCCTAATGGAGAGTGTAATATACACCAATCATTCATGAAGTTAGAGCCACCACTGTGGGTTGTAAGACACTAAAGGAGACCTTGAGAACATCTTCAGAAAGCAAATTAAATAAATGAATGCTGACTAAATCCTTTTTAAAAGGATGATTTTTAAAAATATATAGAAAGTGTGGTCATTCTGATCTCATTCGGCCTGTTATCAATGCTTGGGTGAAATTATGATGTTATGAATCCTACAAATGTTTTATGTTACTTTTGCTATTAAACTCATCAATAGCATTTCTATACATAGTGCTATTGAAAAAAATTGTTTTAACTTGCTATATATAACTTGAGTTTTTGTTTCCTTGACCCAGCTCACCCAATACGGAAAAGGATTTCTGTTTGGGGCTGTGGTGCAGTGACTCTGGGTGTCTGGCTTTTATCTTTGGCCCTGGCGGCGCCTCCGTCTCTCTACACTCGCTACCTGGACCTGCGCCCCAGCGGCATTGACCTGGTGGTCTGTGAGGAATTCTGGCCCGACAGTGGCAATCTACGGCTGTTATACTCCTGCTTCATTCTGATAACCTCCTATATGATCCCACTGCTGTCAGTCAGCGTGTCCTACTGTGCCATCACAGTTAGCCTGAAACGCTATTCGGTACCTGGGGAGCCCGCCAGTAGTCAACAGCGCTGGAGCCAAAGAAGAAAGAAGACKTTTTCTCTGCTGGTGGCCTCAGTGCTGGCCTTTGCTCTGTGCTGGCTGCCTCTCCAGGTGATTGTAAAAAATCAGACCACAAACTAGTCTAACCTGGACAGCATTCGCTGTTTTAAACGGCTTAGTTTAATTTGAGGAAGATTTTAACATCAAGTTTACACTTCACCTCTTTCCCTCCCTACCAGCAAATCATAAACTCAGCAACTTTGAAGTGACGCAAAATGAAACTTTAACTGCAGGCGAGCAGATTAGATTTTATGCACCATTTATCAAGGAGGGCCATCATTAAGCAATTGTGTCTGTAAAACCAACATCATTTCCTTGATGAGCAAAGAAGAAGGCTAAAAGATTAGGTTTTTATCATCATGTTGACAGAGAAGAAGAGTAAGGGTTACAGGGATGAGGTAACCGAAAATATTTTAGGGTTCTTTCCACTTTCACAGCTTAGGTTCAATTTGGTTGTGGTAGAATCTCATTTCACAAATGTACAAAYTGATTCATGCAAAGTACAGATGTTTACTTTTTCCCTAAAAATTTAATGCAGTTTTTTTGCACAACAGACATGATGAACTGGTTTGCACACATGTATACCATGTACAATACCCAATTTATGTTGCAAATTAAGAAAATGTGAAGTTTTCAGCCTAATTTGACTGTTTTAATATCAATGATATAGGAAAACAAAATATTTCAAACTTTTTTTTATTATTATTTGGCYTATTTTCAGCGCAGTTACAGACTTTGTTCTAATGTCGTTCTTCAGGTGCTGAACCTGTTGCTGGACCTGGACCCGGACTTCCTCATAATAGGAAAACGCTACATAAACGTCCTGCAAGTTTGCTGCCATTTAGTGGCCATGAGCTCTGCCTGTTACAACCCATTCATCTACGCTTCACTGCACAGCAAGGTGCGCATGCATCTGAAAGGCTACCTCTGTCCCTGTCGCAATCGTCCGGGGGAAACGGTGGAGAGACCGACCTCCAGGAGCTGAACTTTTACTGTGACCTCCGTCACCCCACCTGACATGCAGCTCATCCTGTATCCACGAAATCCATTGTAGCAAATGTGTAATGTGATAAAAAGAAAAAAATGGAACATCTGCTAAGTGTTCCTTGTTTTCATGCTTAATCTTCATTTTGTTACTTCAAGACCTTGTCGTCTCTCATTACTCACCAGAACTATTTGCTACATAAGGCTTCCTAGGACAAACAGGCAACAAAGCAGTAGATTCGGACCAGATGGTATGACGATGGAGAGGACCAAGATGAGGCCATCTATGGTGACGTTTGTGCTGTTCTTGGACAATTAAGCTGCGTCTGTAGACATTAAGCAGAACCAGAAGCTTTAAAACTCCCAGCAGAGGCAAAAACCAGCTCTCAGCTGCTGTGCAGGAGACTCATGCTGGAGGCTGATACCAGCYTGGTTGCATTGGTTAAAAGACCTGATTAGACTTGAAGTAAACACTTCAGAGAGCTGGATGAATAATGAATTCCTCTCACTAGATATGGATTACAGGCCAAGAAGAGGAAAAGTACAAATGATGTGATTGTTTCCCTTTGGCATGTTTGCTTTTACAGTCTTACGTTCTGTCTCCATTACATTAAATATGATCTGTATTATATCAGTTATGTTTAAATATATATTAAGTGGCTGGAGTGTTTTTTAATCACTTGGCTCACACTTTTTTCTGTACAAAAGAAAAAACTTGTAAATATACAATATATGTTCTCAGCTTTAAAGAAACTAAGTTAAAGATATCATTATGTGCAACAATAAAGGATAAAATGTGATGCTTGTGATACTTTGCAATGCAACTATTTATAACAAAACAACACCAAATTCATACATATGCTACCCAACAAACAGTTAACGATTCAGATCTGTCTCAAAAATGCAGACTGACTTAATACACAGCTTAAAATTCAGAGCATGACCAGTGCAGTCACTCATGAGCATCTCTGCTCTGACAAGACTCTCAGAAAACTCACATCAAGTATGAATAATGATTTAAATGATTGACTATCGAGTCAGTTTTAGACTTGAAAATGGTTTGATATGATGAAGATTATGCAAAACATGAATTAATTTTGTTGAGTGGTTAGACGGTTGCAGTTTTCGTTAGTGGTAGAAACGATTGCTTTTCTTCTTTCTAACTTTTTGGATTCAACAAAGCATCACACACAACAGAAAGTTTGATTTTCTGTCAACAAACCCAATAAAAAAACACATCTTAATTTGTTTGGGTGAATGGGGTTAGAGCTGAACTACCCTGCATAGCTTTACTGAATATGCAGGTCTCCCTAGCCAATGGTGCTGATGCCAGCTCCTACATTTTAACAATCAAATTACTCTGCTGCTTGTTGCCTGGCAGCTGGGTTGTCATGTTTATGTCACCGTTTTGGCAATCTCTGAGTCGGAATTCAGGTCTTGTCATGTTGTTTTGTTGTTGTTTTTTGGGTGGGGTGGCTCTGTTGGTCTTTAGAAATGACACTTTAAATCCATACATTTAAAAAAGGTTGTCTTAATAAATGCTGTACGGCAGAGTTTGACCAAACTGCACGCAGGTACAATAAAATGTAGCTGCAGCCAACTAGAAGAAAAGTGACTGAGGTCAACCCTCATTTGTTAACATGTTAACATTTTCATATTATTCATAACTGGTGTTTTGTCACACAGTACGATGTCTCACAGCAGGGAAGTTCCATGATCAAATTTTAGCTTTGTCCTTTTTTTTTTGCATGTTTTCTGAGAACTCTGGTTTACTCTAAGACCAAAAATACACATATTGGACCACATTTGAAGGACAGCCTAAATGCCTATCTTACAAAACTGATATTCAAATATGTTTGAAGTTGGAAAACATTTCGATTTTATTTTTTAAATTTAATTCTCTGGGGATCTTTGTGGAGTCCACATACAAAACTTGTAAGAAATGAAAACAGAGCAGTTTATTTTGTGCAATATTACTTTGTGCCCTTGGAATGTTAAATAATGACGTCACTTTCACCCGTTCTTTTCTTTCTCTGTATTGTTTTATTCTGATCCTGCTGCCATTAAACTGTGAACAGTTGTCAAAAATGTTTAATGAGTGGACTTTGTAAAGAGCAGGGTGAAAAAGAGCCATTGTTATTATTCTTAAGCCAATAGAAATGTTTGTTTTTTCTCTGCATTTTGATAATTCATTAATGTTGACAATTTTTAGTAAAATGGGTATTTAACAGTGTGCCTGATTTATATTGACTTTTTGAGGACTGTTTCTGGTATAAACACCAATCTTGTCAGTACCAATAATCCTTTTGCGGATGAAAAATAGATCCTTATATGGTGGAATGGCTATTTTGTGTTGAGGGTAAGGACTAAGGTATAAATTTAAAAAMGATGGGTTTATGGTAAGTTATATCCTAGGGGTTGGGGGTTAGAATTAGGGTAAGTGTCAGGGTTAAGATGCAGAAATGACTGGAAATGAATGGAAGTCAATACACAGTCGTGGGGTTAGGGGTAGGGGTAGGGTTAGTATTTGAGTGTGTCTGCTTACCAAATATCCTAAGTAGTGTAAACATCTCATTTGACTCTGAGTGTGAGTGTACATGTTGTCTGTCTCATGGGAGTCTTTGGTTCCTCAATCTTTTCAGCAAAGTTTATGACAAAAGAATTAAGTTCAATCTGGCAAGATGTAGAAARGTAATATAGTTGCTGTGGTTTTTAAGTACATGCTCTGAACATCATSTGCTAAAGATGCACAAATTAAGCAGCAGCATCAAAGTTTTAAAAAYGATATGTTATATTTGTAAAGCAATTATGAATATCTTAATTTTGTTTGCACAGGGGTGAGAGGTGAAACCCAGCAGGAAATGTTCATCTTGCAAAGTATCTGTATTCGTGGGGAGTGAGCCTTATTAGACCAGTTCTAACAGGATACATATGCCTGTATGGTAAATTGTTTTCCCAAACTTCTTCCAAAAATGCACTGGAATTCAAGATGGTCTGATTTCCTTCCCCTTTTCTGTGAGTCAAAACATTGCAGGTAAATTCTGAAGTTTCTTCAGGCAGACGGGGAACAAGTTCGGACTTTGTTTCACAACACTGTCAAAGAATTAACCTCACTCAGATTTTAGCTGGATGTGTGCCACACAAAGGGGAACTTGGGATGATTGGCTAAGTACAGTGGCTTCTTTTTCATTGGATGAACAGCTCAGAGGGGTGTGAGGGAACAAGTTGTAGCTTCCAAAAATACAAGAAAGAAGCAGGGACAAACCAGACTTAAGAATCACACTCTTTCACATTTCACACTTAGAGAGAAGTCAACTTCTTTTAAGCATTAGATGATGGTTTTAAGATGGTTCAGATGTGATAAGGTGGGATTCTTTGGAAACGTTATGCACAGTTAATATCTTATTTGTGCATAGCTCCCTGAACAATTCCAGTAAAGAAATAGCTCAATTACACTGATGAGCTAAAAGCTAATCCCAGGTGTATAATTAATGAAATATTTAGCTGTTCATGCCAGTGATGTTTTATAAACCTTTACATCAGGGCTATTCAACTGGCGGGCCACATTCGGCCCGCGAGTGACCAAGGTTCAGCCCGCCAATTGGTTCATTCATCTCTTATGCCCAAATCCCCGGTTTTCTACTTTCATTTCTCTAAGTTCTTTTTGTTTCTTTTGGTTAAACAGACATGTTTGTTGGTATCTACAGAAACGTCAGAATCCTGGCTAGAAGCTGGTAAAAACCATTTCTATGAACACTCTAGACAAAGTACAAGCAGTTGAAGATAAAATGATGAAAGTGAAAATAAAAGTGTTTTAAAATTTGGCAAGTCAGAGATGTCAAAATATTATTTGTGTCGAATAGGAGGCATAATGTGTTCTTTTTGTTTTTGATAATGTTTAATTATCACTACTTTTATAGGGTTCTGTATGTTGTATTCATGATTAAATGCAGCAAAATAATTCAAAGGTAACAGATCTTTGTAAAACTTGGTTTATTTACATAATAACTTTAATTGCTGGATGTTCYGCCCCTCAGCTGTTGACCGGCAGTAACTGTGGCCCCCGGAGAAATATAGTTGAATAGCCCTGCTTTACATTGTTGTCAGGTTCACATTAGTTATTCACAAAGTGTTGTGTGGTTTGCAAGTGCTAATAGCGGTGGCAGCAGCTTGCTGTATCACTTCTGTTGCAGTTCAGGGCACTTTTTTCAGGAATATTATACTATTTTGACTAGAATGGCAGTGTAATGCAAAACTGACATCAGTGTGCAAATTTCTAAAAGTTGAAATTGTTTTTGGATGGCAGCAATCTGTGCCTTTCTCTGACTAGCTGTTTTCTTTTACAGTCTAGTAAGAATTAAACTCTTCTTTTCTCAAACTTACAAATCTTTTAACAGATTTTTTGTTGTTGCCTCATTTATATTTTAACCATACTGCAGTCAGGTATAAAATAAAATCAATAAACTTTTTTTATTTGGTTCAAACAGTCCTAAATGCAAAATGAAACAACAAAAATCAGTTCAGTTCAATTCAATTCAATTCAAAAATACTTTATTGATCCCAGAGGGAAATTAGGTGTTGTTGTAACTCATTTAACTAAAAACTTATTGTAGATGCTGATGGCTGTGGGCAGGAAAGATCTTGTGTAGCGGTCTGTATTACAGCAAAGTTGAAGACGCCTCCGACTGAAGACACTTTGTCTTTCTATGACAGTCTGATGAAGAGGATGGTCAGGGTTGTCCACAATMTTCTTGATTTTATGTAAAATCCTTCTTTGCACCATCATCTCCAGAGATTCCACAGTCGTCCCCAGAACAGAACCAGCCTTCTTTATCAGGCTATTAGCCTTTTTAGGTCCCTGGCTCTGATGCTGCTGCCCCAACAGATGATGGCAGAAGAGATGACACTCTCAACAAAAGACTTGTAGAAGATCTGCAGAAGAGATGACGCTCTCAACAACAGACTTGTAGAAGATCTGCAGCATCTTGCTGCAGACATTGAAGGATCTCAGCTTCCTTAAGAAGTACAGTCTGCTCTGTCCTTTCTTGTAGACTGCTTTTGTAGACTTTTCATTCACGTTACGGCCTTAGCAAAATGCATCTTTTTAGTTTTTATAGTAGATTCAAAATATACTTACATAGTTATTTAAAATAAAGAAATCTTAAATAAAATTTTGTAATACTTACTTCAACTTAAACTGTATAAAAT